ATGGTGAAGATATGGATGACTTTCATGTCAAAGAAAAAATTCTCCATTCTTTAGATTCTAGATATGACTACATTGTAGTTGCCATTGAAGAATATACAGACTTAACTACCATGACCATTGATGAACTCACAGGCTCATTGCAACCTCATGAAAGAGAATAAACAAGATGAAGAAGGAAGTAGTTTTAGATCAAGCATTCCAATTAAAGTTGTCTCTGAAGGAGAGAAAGAAGGTTTCAAAAATCAAATAGGTGGAGGACGTGGATGAGGTTATGGTTGAAACGAAGAGGGTATGGTTGGAATGAATCAAATCAATTTCAAAATTTCATAGATCCACAAAGAGGACATGTACGTGGAAATCAAAGAAGAAGAGATCGTCGTTATATAGATTGTTTCAATTGCCACAAACTTAGTTATTTTTTGAACGGATGTTGGTATAAAGAAGAATAGAAACATGATGCTAATTGGGTGTCTGGAAATAGAAGCCAAATGCATTATAATAAAGACACTTTCATGTCCCGTGGTGGAGATGGTGAAGATATATGGTACATATAACAGGTAACAAAAATTTATTTTTCAAGTTGTTTGAAAGTGATTTTGGAGAAGTTAAAGTTAGAGGTGGAAAATCATACTAGTTCGTGGCATTGGTGAATTGGAATTTAAAATAAAACAAGGAAATACTAAAAGGATGTCTGAAGTTTATTTTGTTCCAGGCTTAAAAAACAATATGTATGTATAAGTGTATGTGTTATATGTACACATGTGTATGTATAGGTGTTATATATACAAATGTGTATGTGTTATATGTATCTGTTGGTCCGTGTTAAATGTATGCATGTGTATGTGTATGTGTATGTGTATGTGTATGTGTATGTGTATGTGTATGTGTATGTGTATGTGTTTGTGTTATATGTATACATGTGTATACATATGTTAGAGTATATATATATATGAATGTATTAGGATACCACCCTCTCGGCAGGTAGAATGTGTGACGTGGGACAGTAACGACTTCACACCCCTTAAATGACACCACCCTCTCTAGATCTAGAGTCATATTGGCTCAACATGACTGATCAGGTTTTTATCTTTATTGCGAGCTTTGTGCATTACCATTGTTTTTTACTAACTTATGTGTTATGTTTTAAACATGTGTGGGATATCGTCCGTTAGAGATCCCAGTCTAGGTTCGGTAAGGCCAATCGGGCAACCACGTTTGAGGGTGTGTCGTCCAAGCACACCGGGGGATCGATCATAGCTGCACCGACACCAAATGGTAAGTCTATGGTTTTTTTGAACATGTAATTAGATTTATAAGTTTACTAATAACTTAACTTAATTGTCTATTATAGAGAGAGACATGGGGTCGCAACCCAATTTCTTTTAGGTTGTTTGAGCGGATTTACTGCTCGAAACGGAAGGTGACTCAGGGTTCATCCGACCCACCTATTGATCCTCCAATCTTTATTTACCCCAAAGCGGTGGTAAGTTTTATAAAATAATTACTTTGTTTATAGGTTCGTTGGTATGTTTAAAGTAATACATTTTAAAAAAAAGTAGTGACGCTATTAATTTGGGCCTCTAGGACAAATATTCGGCTATGTAGGTAGGTTGGTTGACAATGTGACTACTATTGGTTATTAGAATATTATATAATTGTTAAAAATCATGCAATGAATACGTTTATTCACATTCGTTATGCGGTTGATGTCTACAAATATAAGCTCACCTGCTTTTGTTTTGGTAAACCATTGGAGCGTTTTTGAGAGCTTAGGGATGAGACGTAGTCTAGAACAGAGCCCAACACCATACCTCCTGATGATCCAGTTGTTTGGGAGTAGAGTGTCGGAGGACGGAGGAAAGGTCTCTTTTTGGGTTCGGGATCTCGGAGGATCCCAATTTTGCTTGAGTGGGGATTGCAGCTCCGGTAGCAGCACTAGGAGATCATTCGTTATTGGATCAACTACAAAAGTATGTTGGTTATATGTTATATATCATGTCATTACATTTCATTGCAACAAAATTAATGATTTTTGTTTGTTATATTGAATATTTACAGGTAGCTGAGCTGCAGGCGAAAATGGCAAGGATAAAGGAGGAGGGAAGTGGCGAGAGGATTACTATCTGGCCGAGGTGGAGGCAGAACACAAGAGGAGGGCTGATCTGGAGGCCTAACAATTTACTACTTTTATGCAACAATATGACACACTTCCCCTTCACCTCCTTATAGTTAAATTGTTATGTAATCACTGGACATTTGAACTCTATGAATTTTGTATTTTGAATTGTATAAATTGGTTATTTTTAATATGCTGAACAATTTTGGTTTGGAATTTTGAATTGATGGGCATGTATTATACAAAATATTCAAAAAATGCAGTATTTTAATATTTTTGTTTTTAATAATTTAGCAAAAATTATCGACGGAAATCTGTCGCCACAAATAAGTCTGTCCGTTTCTAAAGTTCCCTTTGCTAAAAGTCCGTTGTTGAAAGGGATCGTCGCTAAGCCATCGCTCATACGGTTCGTCGTTAATCCGTTGCTGATTAAATAGACAAGCTCTGCATGTCTACAAACCTCTTGAGTAGTTTTTTGTTGAGCTATATAAATAGACCTTTTGACTTTTATTTTAAGAACTCTTCACAAGCCATTATCTCTCATCTTCTGAGAGAGTTAAAAACACAACATTCCTCCAACTAAAGAATCAAATCACTTGATTCTTACTTAAAATCTATTTCCGTTTATAAGAAATTTATTCCCGTTTATAAGCAATTTATTCGAGTGTTCGTAAAGATCCATAAAACGGGTCGGGAAAAGTTGAAGTAGCCAACGATGGATTAGCCTCTCTAAACACGAGTGTCATATGTATCTAACCTCATGACTACTAGAAAACTCAGTATATTCGACGGATATTTTGATGGAAAAAATTGTTTATTTTTTTGACAATTTTTAGACATATTTTAGATGAATAATTTAAAATAAGTTTTCTAAAATATTGGATGAATTTTCAACGGAATATGTACCGCTGATAATCCATCAAAAATTTTAGGAATATAATTAATCCGTTGAAAATTATCTAAATAATTAAAAATTAATTTTTTTCAATTCCGTCGAAAATCTACAAAAATGTCGACAAAAACCATTGAAAATCCCTGGAAGAATACCCTCGAAATTCCTTCGAAAATTCTACGAAAGGATTTTTGAAAATGGCTTGGAATTTTCATGGCTTTTTCGAGGGATCTTCTTCGTCGAAAAAATCTCGAAAACCCACATTTTCGACCAAAATTTGGCCGATGAGAAATTCCATAGAAAATGGAAATTTTCAACAGAATTTTCCGTATAAAGCGTTCTGAAGCGTTCCGACTTCTGTAGAGATAATGATCATCGCAAGTTACACTAGCATATAGCTTACATTTTCTTGATTAGAGATAACATGATCGTACATGCAAGATTACAAAAGCATTTCCATAGGTTTAACTAGGTAATTTCGATTTAATAGAACCCCAGATGAAAAACAAATAGAAAACACGAACAAAACCTACACAACCATCCATCCAACAGGTTTTTCTGTGTATCAATTGTACTTTGTTCTCATCATTCTCGTCATAACACCACCAGACTCCCCTCAAAACTAAAACAATTCCGGGTAAAACGGTAATTTAAACACCTCGACAGGCCTAGGACGAGAAAAACAAGATGAGCCCATCGTCACAGATGGACCTTTTAGGTGTCATCCCAGTGTAGTGAATCTTGTCAGTAGTGCCAAAATTGAAATTCTTGAACCATCTTCGGTCCTGCAAATGACATGGTTATGAAGATCAGGATTACACCAGAATAATAACTCCAATATTTCTGGCATACTCTTTTTGTCAGAATCTTAAGTATGAAAGGGGAAGGAAGAATAAATTAAAGGCAAGATGCAATCATATTTGACTCTGATGCCTGCCAATAATATTCATCATCTTCTCTTCTATCTTTTAGGGTTGCTTTTGCCCCCTTAATTTACATTATACCCACAATATCTAACCGATTTATGTCGAACCTTCCTACCTTCTTGCTAATCTGGCAGGTATTCTTGCTTTTTTTCCCCCAAAAGAATTGTCATCAACGTCCACCACTAATCTTCTTGTCGTAGATCTAGTAACCTAATTACCATGGGTACTTTAATTGGGAACAAAAGGAAGGTTCCAACACCCACAAGAAAAAATGGAACAAGAAGTTTATATTATTTATAATAATAAGGGCAAAATGTGCGAAATAACAACCTATTTTTACAAATTTCTTTATTATAGAATTGTACTTTCAGTTTTTCTTATTACAACAATGTACTTTCAATTTTTTTTATTAGGGTATTATAATTTCAAAAATATACCTGTTATAGTATTGGATAACTTTTTAAATTAAATTTACCCATTAAAGAAACCTAATATAGTCGGTAAATTTAATTTAAAAGGTTACCCAATGCTATAACGGGTAAATTTTTGAAAGTACGATACCCTAATAAAAAATATTTTGAAAGTATGTCGATGTAATAAGAAAAAATGAAAGTACAATGCTATAATAAGAAAATTTGTAACAATAGTTTACTATTTCGCGCATTTTACCCAACGTTTATTTAATTGTTAATAAGGTTAGGGTTTTTATATGCAATGAAGTTAATATGTTAACTTGCTTTATTATCTCGATAAATAAAGCAGATTTTAAAAAGGGAAAATATCAACATCGGAACTCAATAGTGGTGGTATTTCTTAACCTAGCTCTACCTTTTTCATGACGCCTAAAGAACCTGATTAGAAAGATTTTCACTGGGATCCATTCGAAAGGAATTCGTTTTTTTTTTTTTTTTTTTGTTGAGAATATCACCTTGATCAAAGAGATGAAAATAAGGTAAGAAAATATTTAATTAACTAAATTCCGACCCCAATCACCAAGATTCTTGGATCTGCATACGCAATTTCATAACTACACAACATAAGAGCAACATAAGCATAAGAATTTGGATTATTATGGTAAACAGTAGAATACATTATTTCTTATTATTATTTTGTCTAATAGACAATTATTAAGTACGGGTACAAGGATACATAATGAAGAAAATACAAATTTATTAAGACACACAATTCAGGAATTCTGATTATTAAGACACACAATTCAGGATTCTGATTATTAAGACACACAATTCAAGATTCTGATTATTAAGACACACAATTCATGCTTTCGCCTTCTTCAGTTTTGGATTCACTTCGATTGCTTTTTCTGCTTCAAACCCTGTACCATCGACTTTCTCACCATCCATGGATCTTTTTAGAACATTTTCGGAAAGAAATTTTTTGTACCATAGTGCCGAATTCTTCGGATACCTTTGGAGATTGTTGACATAATCAACGTAGATCAAACCAAATCGATCTTTGTAACCGGAACTCCATTCAAAGCTATCCATGAATGACCATGCGTAATAGCCCGTTACGTTTACCTTGTTACTGCAACATTAGTTAATGCCAATAGACCGTGTGATGATTATGTTTGTAATTTATTGTTCATTTTAATTTGTATTTCAATTACATGGGTTCGATAAAAAAAATATGAAGTAACATACCGTATAGCTGTTCGGATGGCAATGAGATGTTTCTTTATATATTCCATTCGGTATGTATCATCCCGCACTTCTTGGTATGTCTTTCCAGTATCCAACATTTCAGGAGAACCTGTCACAATATATAATAATACAATTGTAAATTTAAACATTTGAGGATTCAACAAGAAACAAACAAAATGGTTATTGTTTAACTTACCATTCTCAGTGATTATAATAGGTTTGGATACATTGTATGTGTTCTTAACCAGATACAAGAGCTCTGTAAGCTCATCAGGACAAAGATAAACCCATGACAGCATTGGGTTTGTTGGATCAACATATGCCTGCAAAGTAGGTCATGTTAGACTTGGTAAAGTATAGTTGCTATGTACGGAAATAAAGAAAATTAAATGGGAGATCGCCTTGTTTTCATTTCTTTTATCAAGTAAAGTTGTCTTACTTGCTTTCCTATAGGATCTCCATTGGAATCATTTCCTGAAAAATGTAAATATTGACATATATTTTAGAAATCCACAAAGATAACTAGACACCTTGTTTTCATTGACGAACATATATTCATAGAATATAAGACCGACATGTGCCAAATAAATAGAAACTAAGTTTTCCATTACCTGATGCTTTGAAGCGACCATCCCTAGTATATCCAGGAGGAATATCAACAGAAGGAGCTTGATATTGGATATAAAATGCAGTGTAGTAGTTTATTCCAAGAAAATCATATGAATCTATCAACTTGGTGAGTTGATCATCAGAGAATTCAGGCAGGGTACGACCTTTTGGATAGTTAGCAGTAGGAGTAGTAGCAAACTTTTGCATATTTTCCGGCCATTTTCCTTTTACTAATGGCTCAAGAAACCTGAAATATTCGTCATTATAACATACAATTTTAAAGGTTGTTAGCAAATGAACAAATAAATTATCATACTATCACTTATGCATGCTTACCATCCATTCCCGAAATCATATGCATATTGCACGGCTTTGACATCTTCATCATTACTCGGACCACGAAAAGGCTTGCAAAAGCTAAGGTCAAGCGTAATTCCCACTTTACCCTTTTGGAAACTCTAAATGACGTTCCATGAGGTTAGTTATATATGATTAAACTAAAACATGACGATGGATTAATTTACACACTATTGCATTTCAAAAGTTTACGAAAGTTGCTTCCTTTAAGCAAATACCTTGTAATCTTTCTCATATTTTCTATAAGCAGCTGCATGACAGTTAAGTAGGTTGTATGCTACCGTATATGGCTCTGTTTCAACATCACTATCTTTACAATTTGCACCCCGACCAGGTGCAAATGTACCAGTAACATAACCATTATATGTGAACATATGTGGCTCGTTTACAGTCAACCAATTCTTTACCCGATCTCCAAACTCCCAGAAACAAATATCAGCATAGTCGACAAAATCAGCCCTGTGATTTAATACAAATAATATGTCAAAAGATACCTGCATAAATACACTATTTTATTTGAAAAACACTTACACGACTTTTGAACTTAAGAAACCCATGTACTCTTCTTCCAAAGCATTGGGAAGATCCCAGTGGAAAATAGTGGCAAACGGCTCAATGCCATTAGCTAATAACTCGTCTATTAATTTGTTGTAGTAGTTGATGCCTTCCTGGTTTTTACCCATGCTTATTTTCCCGCCTATTTAAATCACAATCAAAATAAGCTTTGAATGAATTATTGACAAAATTACAACATTGTTCTTTCAATAAAAAAATAGGTTTAATATTGAAGGATTTTGCTTATACCGTAAAGAAGAAGAATATTTGGTTCTTATACATTTTATTGAGGGAATGTTGGAATATGTTCATTTTCACCTGGTAATATTCTCGGCCATGAAATAGAGAATCTGTAAGAGTTGACACCCATTTTCTTCAGCAATTGAACATCTTCCTGATAGTTGTTTACAAAGGAGCTAGATAAGGTAGATATAAAGATCAAGCATGGATTTTATTTCATAAACCGAAATATATGTTTACCTTCATTCTTGAGTAGCTGTCAACGGTAACACATGCATTTGCACCTCCACTAATCTTGTCTGCAATCATCGCCAACATTTTCATCCATTTAATTAACGATTGAGGCGATCAAACCCAAAAGAATCTAGAGAAGCATACCAGGGTTTCTTAGGGCAAAACAATCCCAGATACTCAAGCCTTTACCATCTACATTCCAAGCACCTTCAACCTAGAACTCAAAAAATAACAACTTTAGGTATGCTTATTTTAGTTGTTGAACATTTGTGTTTCAATAAACCATATTCATATCTTGATTAAAAATATAACAATTGTCTTATTTACATGATGTGAACACTGTATGAACTAGAAAAAAGGATGACCAAACAATTCCTAAGATGATAGAGAATCAGACATTTTTTATGATGCAAGAGCCATGTATACATTGCATACCTGATGAGCAGATGTTGCTACCCCGAACAAGAAATTACTTGGAAAATTTTGACGTTTGAGACCATCATCCAAGAGGGGAGTATGGTCGAAGTCGATCATTGTTTCTTCACCCATTATGAACGGTTAAACGTGTAAAGTAGGTTGAGAGAAAGCCTTTACACCTTCAAAGCGTGATGGTGAAGAGTGGTGAGAACTTAGAGTCATTTGGTCTGGTATTTATAGCCACCCATCCAAGTTCAAGCCTGTGATAATTGTGTAAATGGATTCCGAAAAGACAAAAGGTAACCATTCTGACAAGACATTTCACATTTAATTAGGTTGTAGAATTTAATCTATGCAATGAATTCACACTCTAGCCCTTTCTGTTAATCCGATTGTAAGAATATGTTGTTCTTTATACCATATTTAATTGTTGTGTTATACCGACTAAGCTAATTCTCATTGGTTGGTGTTGGCATATCAAAATAGTTATACTGTTTAATATTTCATATCCATATTTTTCTATAATTATATGTATATATACGTTCAATTTGGAACAATATGATCAAGAAAGCTAATTAAATGTCGCTGCCATTATATATCTAGTAACTTTAGTTATTATTTTATATCATTAATTATCTTCACAAAATCTCAATATTGACGATTGTAACTGAGACACAAGATTCAAAAATGGGTTTATTAACTATTAGTATCATTGTCTTCACAAGTGGAGTATATGACAAGATAACATCGATAACTTGTATTTATTCGATATTTGTTTGTGATATTAAATTCATATTCAATTACATGTAGCTTGGTTGTTACAAAATGGTCCATGTGCGAACGATTAATGCATACAAAAATAATCAAACCAATGCATACAAAAATAATAAAACCAATGCATACAAAAATAATCAAACCAATGCATACAAAAATATTATCGTCGGTGTCTATTATATATAACGAACCCATGGCCAGGCCAATGCAAAATGATTGAGGACTATATATATCTTCTAAATTCCTTAGTGTATTGGAAATTAACTGATACAGTAATAGTTAGTAATTAAGTGTGATGAAAGTGGAACACTCGTTTAGTTCTTTTTGCGGTTTTTCTTCGCCTATTAATTTTTGTTGTTCGAGTTTTGTCCTTGCTATAACTTGTTATTGTTGTGATGAATGCGGATATATTTTCTGATTTGTATTGATAAATTATATATATATACTAGTTGTAGATCAAATCCATGAGTTGAGAATTGGTCTTATGGGTCTCACGAAAAACCGTTGGTCTCACACGATCCCAAGTCTACATATATATATATATATATATATATATATATAGGTTGGGTTTACGTGAGACCAAGGGTTTTTCGTGAGACCCGTATACTAAGACCAATTTATGTTCATTGATCAACTTTATAAGCTAATGATCTAATGGTCTAAAGTTGCATGGTGGCAATTTTGTAATTATTGAGAAGTCTTGCGTGGCGATTATGAATGTTCAGATCTGACGATTGTAGATCTAATCCAAAGATTGAGAATTGGTCTTACGGGTCTCACGAAAAACCTTTGGTCTCACATGATCCCAAGTCTATATATATATATAGTGGAGCGATCAAATGAAAACCACCCTCATTTGTAAAAACCGTACAAACCACCCTCATACGTCGATTTCATTGTTTAATCTTATGAAATTTTTTCATGAAATTGTTTAATCTTATGAAATTGTTTCATATAATACTTTTTTTGATGAATTT